TAGTAAAATCAACATTTTATATGTAACAAGTAAATTAATATTTTTTAAGTGTACACCTTTATTATGTACACCTCTGTACACCTCTAAGTACACCTCTATTATGTACACCTCTAAGTACATTTATTCTTTGTGATTGAAAAAATATTAATTTGACATTAAAAATGCTACAAGTATATAATAAATATACTTAGAAATATACATAACACTCATATGGAGTAAAATTCACTTGATTTTTTTATTTTTAGTAAGTTTTGGTTGATGAAATTTGAGAAAGAGCTCATACAATGGTGCTTTGATTCAAATGGACACACTAAATTTATTTGAATCCAAATCAAATTTGAAAACTTAACCAATTCTCACAACATTTTGTCCTAACCGCAACCTTTGATTGAACGATCAAGTTCACAACATTTTGTCCTAACCGACATTAATATTTCGAGTGGAACTACAATCAGATCAGCCATCATGCTAATTCAAATGAGGCCACAAACTCCTTAGAACTTAAAAGGTTTCAAGTCCTAATTAGAGTGGAACTACAATCAGATATAACCATCACAGAATAGACCAAGAATAGACCAAGAAACTCCGAACATATGATAAACTACACCCCTTTGAGAAAATCATTCTTTGAATCTTATGGCAAGCTATTAAGTTAACAATCATACCCAAAACATCACGTACAAAGTTGTATGACCATGTGGGGATCATCAACATACAACACAATAACATACCCTGCAACTAAACCTCAAAAAGTTAAAAAACTTTGATAATCTTCAACATTTATAAGCTGTGAGGTAATAAAGGGTACGTTCGATCCTAGATGTGGGGGGGTTTTATCACCGTTGAATCACACGCACTCAAACACACCCATGTAAATGTGTGCTGATCCAACGATGAACCTCATGTGGGCATAGGAAGGAATTAACCAGACTAAAGGTGGGTTAAGGTCTACAAACAAGGAAGCAAAGAGAAGCAATCATCAACAAAATAAAACCCAAAACTACCAATCACACCAGAAAATATAACGATCACGGCAACTTAAACCTTTCTTATCATATATCCATACTTTCAAAAGACTCATCATATCTACTTAAAAAAACAAATGGATGATTAAATGAACAGAATTGCCTACAGATCAATTATACTTGATGAGATGGGAATTTGAAACAAGTGCTGGGGCTATTCAGGTTGTTATAAACAGACCCACTAAACAACAATTACAATACTGTTTAGTCCTAACCCTAATCACAACCCCACATACAAAATCCAGAGACATGCAAACGATAGGAACGAGTGCTGCAAGAGTGTGCAATAGTGTAAGTTAAAGTACCAAGGAATTTGTTTTCCTGAAGATGATTTCCAATCGGCATAAACTCATATGATTTGGAGATGCATCTAGCATAGCTCAACCAACACACCACACAACCTAAGTGAAAGCTTAATTAAAAGGCTAATGAAATGACCGGTAGAAACTTACATCCAAGCAAATTTACTTCCTATTGGATGCCCAACTTCTGTTCACAAGCGCACAGAACGAGTCACGAGTAATCAGCCTCATTACAAACATGACAAGCAACTCCCAAGTACAAAGTCCCGAGAGAAATCCCAAATTATCAATCTAATAAACAACTGAACTACAAATATAATGGCTATAGAAATTAGGTCAGAGTTCACAACAAACTCACGATACAGACCTCAAGATCATGCAGCCATAATGAACAATTCCACCAAGACAACAAATAATGACCCAACAACGAACAACCATTGAAATGCATCAAAACCAAATTCAAATGCATTTTAACCAGAATTTAACACCTACAGCTCAAAAGGTTCCAAATTCTCACGGAAATTCATAAAAGCATAGCAAAATGATAATAAAATATTCAAAATCACAAAAACGCAGTATCCAAACTTCAGTTCAGTACGACAAAAATAAAAAGACACATACTTCTGACCACAACTGTAAAGGAACAACCACTACCAATATCTCAACGGTAGGATTTCTGGAACCTCGCGCGAGCACCACGCCCACCAAACTTCTTCGGCTCGCAGCGTCTCGGGTCGGCCACCAGAAGGGTCCTGTCGTACCTCACGAGGATGTCCTTAATCTCCTTCTTCGACTGCTCGTCGACGTACTTCTGGTAGAAGGCGACGAGGGCCTTCGAGATGGACTGGCGGATGGCGTAGATCTGGGAGGTGTGACCGCCGCCCTTCACGCGGATGCGCATGTCAACGCCGGCGAAGCGGTGGCGGCCGAGGAGGAGGATCGGCTCGAACACCTTGTAGCGGAGGATCTCAGGCTGGATAAGCTCGATCGGTACACCGTTGATCTTGATCAGGCCGCGGCCGCGCTTGCAGTGGGTGACCGCGACTGCGGTTTTCTTGCGGCCGAAGCACTGGACGGATTCAGTTGGCGCCGCCATGGTTACGGTGGTGCTTCTCTCTGTCTCTCTCTACACGGCGGAGGAAAACCTAATTCAGTGAGTAAGAAGCTGTGGAAGTGATTGGGAAGAGAATATATATGTTGGGGGCTTTGGATAAAAGGGATTAGGGTTTTTTTGTTGGTGAAATGACCGAAAAACCAGCGCTTACATACATTTAATTGGTTTTGTGTTGGGCTAGAGTTTGGGCTTCATAATTTGGGTAAGCATTACAACATCAGGACGTTAGGAGCTGTAAATTGGATTTTGGGCCTGTGACACCAACGATTTTATTGGTAAGATATCAATATATGAATAGATTTCAAAAAAACTGACACCCCTATCTCTTTGTTTAAAACATTTTACTTTTTTATCCTAACATACTGTTATAAATATATTAATATGAACATTAATAATATATAATTGGGCCTGAAATCTATTAGTTAGGAGGATTAGATTTTAGGGTTTCTCCCTTGTAAACTCTATAAAAAGAGTGAATACCGATGAATAAGATATACACTTTTCTGCTTCTCTTTTCTCGTTCTTTTACTGCACCTCTTTTATGCTTGGATTGATGGATGCTTGTTGAAGATTAAGAGTTTCAATTTACAACACGTTATCAGCACGCTCTAATTCGTTGTCGGTGTTGCCCTAGGAAAAAATCGTATTTTTCCTGCAAGGTACTTTCGAGATCCATTTATTTTTTTTAATTTTCGATTTGTTCTGTCTGGCTTGAATGAACATGATATTTTCCGGTATATCTGAATTGAAATTGGAAATTTATTGCAATTCGTGTGCTGCGCGAATCTTGATTCTATTTGTTTCCGGTAAGATTTTGTTGTTCGAGAAGATGTTTGTAACATACCGGTGTGAATTGCTTTTGCCGATTACAGATTGTGATATATCATATATGTGTGCGATTATAGTTTGTTGTAGTGATTATGCCGCTCAATCTTAAGCTATGTTATGTTGTATCTTGTGAATTTTCTTGTGGGAGTGTCTGTTATAGATAATTTTTTACATGGGGTCTTGTTATAGCTGATATTTGAGTATTGTCATTATGCTAAAAATATTTACTTTGTCTCTTTTGTAAATTGTTTGTCATTGGTATTATACACCATTTACTTGTAGACTTTGTTTGATTCACTCTATGTACTGAAAGTCGGAAATTCACTTGTGATAAGTATTTGCTGAAGGAAGTTACATCTAGGTTGGCGATTGGCATACCTGATATGCATATTTCGAATTGCTACACCTAAATTTTTTATAAATTAGGATTGAAATTGAGAATACAAATGCTTTTTTT